GCACCACAGCTCTGACACATTCATATTTATTAAAACCTAATTTCTTGATGCTTGTTTATTGGGGAAAAAAAAGCTCATGGACCGTTTTTTTGTTAACTACCCATGTATATTTAATTTTTTTTAATGTATTTTGTATAAAGGCTCCCTTCTGATTATTAGTCCAGCATTGTTATTAGACTTGTACCACAGAGCAGAAGAGAACGGAGAAGAGTGAGATGAATTTATTAAGTGAACAGTCAGAGAGATCACGCTCTGCTTGTGAAGGCCTGGAGATTCCCAGAATTTGAGCAGAAAGGAGCTAATGCCTAGCAACCGCGCCACAAAGAGCGGAGAACTGTGAGTTTCTAGAGCATTGAATGCAAAAACCCAAAGGACGAATGAAGTAAGAGCGAGAGAGCAAGAACTTAAGTCTGTTTGATCACACACATGATCTTAGCATTTCAAATAAGTAAATTACTTGCTTATGATTTCATAAGTTGAGAGCTGCAACCTAAAAAAATAAGACGAGCAGAGTGGACAGACGGAGACAGATGTGTACTGCTGTGACCTGGGTCGCAGCTGCAGCAACAAAACCGAATTATTCTTGTCTCCACTGTGAACCTGTGTGCCTCAGAGCATAATGACCATAAAAACTCAGCCAGACACACTGGCCCCAGATCAGCTGTAGACACCTGAGCTCACTGGCACATTGCTGTACTGTATTGGTGCACCTCTTATTAGCGTAGCCCATGCTGTCATTCACACGCCCACGCTTTCCCTCAGATCCGAAGTACCCCAACCATATGATGCGTTGAGGTGTTTGGACAGCATAAACAACACCTGATACCAGGCCATTTGCGCACATGTGGAGGTCTTGAGTCAACATGAAATGGCCAATATTTTTGGTAGAGTTTTATTTTTATTATTAATTTATTTAATTGTGCCTCTTGACATTTCCTCTCTTTTTGCATCTTTGTTTTCATCTGATTCTCACTTAAAGTTCATCTTTAAAAGCACTAATAATTTTATTTGATAATTGTTTTATGCTGTACATTATGATGTTGTGATGCCTAAATTGATTTTAGTTTTTGAATATATATTTTTTATCATATATTGGAATCACCATAATGTGAAATTATTATCGTGCATCCCTGAAAAATGCAAATCACGCTGTTTTTTTTTTTTTTCCCTGATAATTATTTTTAAGTTATGTTGATACTGATAAATTGTGGATATTAATCTTCTTTACCACTTTGGATTTTTTATTATTCTTAAAGAAAAACTACTGCCAAAAACTTGCATATTGCTTTGGACGTTAGCTCATAAAGTGAAAACAGGTTTGGTTTAATTGATAGTGTGCTGAAAATCCAGGCCATATAATAAAAACTCTTAGAAACAGGATAAACACTATTACTGTCCCAGTGGAATCACTGGTAATGTTTACAATTAGTTTTGTGGGAGATGGCACACGAATTTCAGTTCTGAGACCCTACTAAGGATCTATAACCATAATTGGACAAATCGGAGAGATGTAGCATGCTTCAGTGTGTAGCTCATTTAAGATCCTTTAAAAGGGAGTTTTGCAGGTAATCCATCACACAACTTCTGTTCGGTCGAGTGCCGCTCATGCAACGACCTTTGTCTTTTGTTATGGTTTAAAACGTATTCCGTGGAAGTGTCGCCAATGCCTGATGTTTTATTCACAGAAAATAACTAAAACATACGCGGCCACATCCTGCAGGTGCACAACACTAGTTGTGTGAATACTAATATACAATAGATGGGGTGATTCATACAGGCATTAATTTTCCCATGCGGGCCATCCCGTCTCCTGTCTGTCCTCTAAGGGATTGAGCACAATAGGAGTTCACAGCTTGCGTTTGTGTTCGATTGTTTATTAAAACCTTTTAAATACTCATGATTGAATGCTCATACTTTTAAATACTCATCAAAAGTCAGAGGAAGAAATTTGGATTTTATTGTAGAAAAAAGTTAAGAATCATAACTATTTAGATAATTATAACGATAACTATATCCATCCACACCAATGCACGATCACTGCAGTTGGCATGTATAATAAACAAAGCTATGTCGTCTGCCTCTTTAAATGCTTGCGCTCTGTAAAGCCGTGGATTCTGATTGGTTGTCTGTTGTTATTTGTCAATATCCTTCCTCAGTGTCATTATCATTATCGTATCACAGCTGTGGTGTGATGTTCCCTTTTGTTTTAAAATTAGAACAATTATTAAATCTTTATAGTTGTTGTTATAGTAGGGACCTATCTAAAATATTACTATTATACAGTAGGTTATCTACAGGGAATATCACAATTTCTTTCATGTTTTAATTTGAACAATAAACCTCTTTGTGCAGCAGTTTGTTTGGAATAATTTGACGATCTCATGAGTTATACAGGACTGTGATTGGACTGAAAGAGTTCATTCTCATGTATTTGTACATATCTATATCTCTTATAATTCGTAGAAAAGCTCAGAAACTGATGCGTACTCTCCTGCCAGTCACCACTCCGAAACAAATAGCTTAAATTGTGTGACGTTGGTTCAATTTAGCTTTTTAAAACAGAAAAATTGTTTCAAACAACAACAAAAATAATAATCAACTTAATGAGTGATATTATTTTCAGTGATGTGCAAAACTGTACATATCTGTGATTTAAAAAAAAAAAAAAAAACATTTTAGGGTTTCATGACCCTTCAATGCTAACATTCTAAACATCTCTCAAATGAAAGCCGCAAACTGATGCATGGCTAAAGTTTGAACGGCTGCCGTCTCCGTAAGATGTGGGAGATCTGATTTAGCATGTTTTAGGTGTTGACACCAGCTGCTCAAGTGTGAAGTTGTCTCTTCACATAGAAAAAGTGGGTGTGAGAGTGTGGCATGTTGACAGGTGTGCTAACACCAGGATTTTGAACTCAGTATCTTTTGAGATCCTACCACACACTAGGGGATGAGTCATGATTTTCAAATATTTGATTAGTTGATTTAATTATAGAATATCGAATAGGTTGTGTGATTATTGTCTAAAAAAATCCCCATGTTTTCGGTGGTGACGCATTCATGTAACCAGAGGGTGGCGATGCCAATAACGCACCAAAAAGCTGTCAATCAACTCTCAGACAACAAAAGAAGAACAAATGGTCTCAGAGCTTGTAATATATATATATATATATTATGGTAATATTTCCTCCATAGCTGAGAGCTCCCTTATGAAGATTCCGCACCGCTCGCTCATTCTGCTCAGGACCGCTCGCTCAACCCAGATTGCCCTTTATCACATGCTGGTTCGAAAATGTGTGAAATAAGTAGGGCTGCCCACGACTTAAGTTTTTTTTTCTAGTCGATTAGTAGTTGTTCATTTAAGCCATTAGTCTAATCGCATATTTATATTAATTTAATTACTTAAATATAAACTGGAGAGAATACTAGACCACAATGAGCGTCTACGTAATATATAGCCTATTCCGCACTCAAGCGCACGCATAAAGGTTGCCAAAAAGAACCAGCTAAAGTAATGATGTAATGTCAAATATCGCATGGGGACATTTTAATTGTTTATTAATAAACTAGCGTTTTCTGTGTCAGTGTCGGACTCGGCTGCAAAGAAGAAGTTGACGATGCTGACTCGCCATCTTTGTAGAAGTGAACGCGCCTATAGAGAGAAATGCACATTTCATTTAGATTACATAAGCAGAGGGTAGTCTGTTTCTTTTCGTTTTGAATTGTTTTGTGTAAAAGTAGGCCTAGAGATTTCAAGCTTCCTATATATTTCTACGCTGAGTTTCGGTTCATTTATGAGACGAGCTCCAGTTTACATGCAATGCAAGTTATCGCGCCGGCGCCTCCATGTCCTGATAGTGTCTGCTGTATTTGCTTCTTATTTATTAAATCCAGGCAATTGGTTGATGAAACATTGATTAAAATGTATACAAAACGAAATTCCCTTTAAAGAAAGGCTTTCTACAAAACAAAATTAAATGAAGTGGTCGAAATCCTGTCTGACCCACTCCATCCAGATATATTGCGCATCTTATGATCCTATCTCTCATGCTGTTCACTTTTCATATAATCAACATAGATGAAATTAAAAAATAACATTTATATTATTTAAAGATAAATATGAAACTAAATATGTTTTCTTTAATGGATACAACACATAGGCTATAGTCGGCCTACAGTAAGCTACAGAGAAATTTAATGTTGTAGTGGGATTTGAGCGAACACCGTTTTACCGGTGAGCATGTGGGGGAGGGGTGCGATTTTCGAATAATTCCCAGCGATCTTCGAATATTATTTTTGCTTGAAATGCCCATCCCTACCACACACACTCATCTCTTTATTATCTTCTGATACTGTTTCAGTGGAGTTTGAGGGCAGCATTTCATGGTTTCCGCTCAGTTTAGAGCGTAAGCTGGGTTTAGAGTTGTGTAAGAGGGTCTCAGACTGATGGCCGGGGGCAGCGCTCTATCTCGGAGCTGCTTGTCATGTGACACAAACATGTTTCCCTCAGCGCAAATGTGCCAGTCTGGGTCTGATGCGTCGGTCTGACGTGTGCATGTTTGTTTTTGAGATGTTAGTAGGTGCTTGTGGGAGCTTTTTGATTCTTGTGTATGGCCGTTATGTTTTGTGTGTTTATATAATGTTCAAATGAGGGAGTTAGATGCCAAATGAGTAGCATGCCCCCACAGGCCTGTGGAAATTACATTGATAAGATGTCGTTTCCTGTTTGTGAAGCACTCAAGACATCACCATTAAAGGCCAAACTTGATAAACACCAGGTCTGGCAGAGAATGGAATGCTAAAGATCGACAGCTAAGTCAGCAAGACTTGAGTTACTGGAAGTATAGGCTACACACACACACACACACACACACTGCAGGGTGGGCATTAGCACTAAGACTCTGACTAGACGGAGGAAAAAACATTGACTTGCTTTCCTGTCTATAGATGAAATGGGTTCATGAGTGTGTTTTTTAACCCTGTTTGTTTTGTGTTTGTCACAGGTGCTGGAGAATCGGGGAAGAGCACCATCGTAAAACAGATGAAGTGAGTGAATCGACAATTTTCTCTCCTCAAATTCTCTTACTCTTTCAGACAGCTGTTAATGCTGGTGTGGATAATATGAGAGAGAGCAGCTGCAACTCTACAATTAGAAAATGTTGAAAAAGAAAATAACTCAAATACGCACACATGTTCGTTCACATGGCACATTGGGAGTTTTTTTTTTTTGCCCCTGATTAATGAACTCAGTGCACATACTCATACACAAACCCCTGAGCTCCAAGTCTAGTTTAGAATCATTCATTTCATTTTCACAGCTTCAATGAATCAGTTCTAAGGCCGCTAGCTAGTCAGTTGAATATACCATTGTTTTGGGGGACGACCCCCCGCCCCCCTTAAAATGCTGACGAAATCCAGTCATAAAAAAGGAATTTACTAACGCGGAATTTCACGGAATTTGTAAATTTGAGGAATAAATAGAAAGCAGTTCAGTAAACTTGAAATCAAATCGCGATGTAGACTAGTGTGTGTGAAAATTAAAACACAAAGACTATTTAAATACGAATCCTGCATGTTCTGTGTGAATGAATGGTGCCGCCGACGCGCAGTTTCATTTACCACACACACACACACACACACACACTGAAGCACGTGTGACGCTTGCGCTGTTTTTTGGTCTATATGAAGACACAAATGCATGAACTTCCTCTCCAGGCTCTAGATCCACTCTGAAAGTCACTTCGTGATCATTTAACCGCTTCATTTGAGAAAAACTATCATCATGACATAAACGCACAGAAACTCAAAAGGTCTTCACGGCAACCCGTCAAAATAAAAGTTCGGTTTAACTTGACAGAAATATATTACTGTTGTACAATAGAATTTAGATATGTTCCAATGTAATAATACACTAACACTAATCCAAATAAATTATCATCAAAACTGAAATTTTTAAGGAATAATCCATGTTTTAATTTTAACAGTAAAGCTCATTGTGCAGCACGATAAATGATAAAATTTGTGTTTTATGTCTTCATTGTAATACCAGAAAAAAACACAACACAGAGTTAGTGTGACTTTTTTTTTCATATATATATTTTTTAAATGTTGTATAAGTTTAATGATTCATAATACATGATTTCAATTAATTAGACATGCTTTTTGATTGCAAAAACAATTTTACACCACGTATCCGTAACACGCCCGCTCCGCAACACTAGCAGCCCTGAAATGCTGTTAACTTGCATGTCATCTTAGCTCACGCTCACACTCCCATAAACAGCTGTGGATGTGGGAGTGTGTGTGTGTAGTCAGGCCCCTGGAAGCAGATAATAGTGTTTATCTGACCTTGACCTCTGCTGCTCTTCTTGCGCGTCTGTTTCCCAAAGTAGTTTTACACTCTAATCACTCTGATGGAAAATGTTTATTACTCCATCTCATTACTGAATGCATCCCGACACGCACGCACTTTGATCTGGGGCACAATAGCAATATTTATTCTGTTATAATAGAATTACATTATTAAAAAATTACTCTAGAAACTAGTTGTGCTTGCTTAGTTATACCCGAGAGTATCCCCTCAGGTGATTTGTATGCCAAGAGTGACAGAGTGAACTGGCTCGCTTACATCTCCATGAGCCAGAGCTGACAACTTTAAAGAAATCTCTATAGATTTGCAGTCTGACAAGATCCATAAGACCATTCCCATCAGCAATTTCAAATCAATTCAGCGACTATTCAGTTCCGTCCAATGCAAAGGCTTGTTGATATGAATACATTTTATATTATCCAAATGCTAAAATCTAATGTTTTCAACTGTTCCTCTTTTGTGCCATCCTGACATTTCTATTTGTTTGTTTTGGTTTCTCTGAAATTTAAAATAATATTTAACATTATATTAATTTATATGTACATTTATTATAACATTTACACATATGCACGTCTGCTCAAAGTTTGGGTTGGTTCGATTTTTTTTTTAATATTGTGAATATTCGTGTAACTGTGAAATATTACAATTCGAAATAACTTGTCTATTTTAATATATATTATGTAATTTATGTCTGTGATGCAAAGCTGAATTTTCAGCATCATTACTCCAGTCTTCAGTGTCACACGATCCTTCAGAAATCATTCTAATATGATGATTTGCTGTATTATTATTATTAGTGTTGAAAACGTTGAAAAAGCTTAATATCTTTGTCTAAACCATGATTCATTTTTTTCAGAATTATTTTATAAGTAGAAAGTTCAAAAGAACAGCATTTATTTTGAATAGCTTTTTTTTGTAACAAATGTTTACTGTTACTTTTTTCAATTGAATGTTTATATATATATATATATATATATATATATATATATATATATATATATATATATATATATATATATATATATATATATATATATATATATATATATATATATATCAATGATGGCTAAATATCCTGTACAACACTGATCAATTGATCGTCTGGGTGTCCGTTTTGCAGGATTATCCATGAGGATGGCTACTCGGAGGAAGAGTGCAAGCAGTATCGAGCGGTGGTCTACAGTAACACCATCCAGTCCATCATGGCCATCATTAAAGCCATGAGCAACCTCAAGATTGAATATGACGACAGTGGCAGAGCGGTGAGTACATACAGCATTACCTCAGCAAATAAATCACACACACATACCCTAGATAGATCTGAGCCTGTGTGTAACACTGTACCCAACAGCCTCAGATGATCCCTTTGTAACATTCTAAATGTCTAAACTGCCACTTTTAATCAATTTAATCCATCCTTTCTGAATAAAAGTATTAACCTCTTAATTTTTTTTTTAACGGTATTGTACGAGCCTGAGAATTTTCAAATGCAACTTGTTTTTTCTGTTAGAATGATGAAACTTGTGCACTGACCTGCAAAAATTGCATAAAGCTAGGCAATCAGATTACAAATAGTGATTCCAGCCTTCTCTTGTCCTCCTTGTTGTGTGACATCCATTAGATACTCACATGAACAGTCCACTGGCCACATGAGAATAAGACAAAGACAACTATAGCTTATTCTTACTGTTCTGTTTTGTGTCCTGTAAAAGACAACAGATCAAACACTGCACAATAAATCTCTTTTATTCTGCTGTCTATGCACCGATTCTCAAAACTTGCAAAGTTTAAGGAAAAAAAAAGAGAATGACCAAGTGAGAGTGTTAGCTTGCTATCTAGGATGTCTAGAGAACAGCCTGAAGGCACCAATATGTTCAGTGCATATGATCCACCTGAGGCTTTGGAGAAACACTGATCTCTATCAGCACAGATTTATCCTCACTATATTTTAGATTCAATGATAGTCTAGATTTACGGTCATTCACTGAATCTACAGGGTTAACACTGTCTGAATGTAAGGATGCAGGAGTTTCGAGACGTGTTTTTAAAAGTCAAACTTCTTTTAACTCGTCACAGCATCTTAAAAAGCACTCATGATGCAGAAAATGAAGTGAAGAATATGGCTTCTTTAAAACAGTACAAATTCTCTTATTTTTGTAGCAGCAGTGTGTAGTTTAATTAGACGGGTGAACGGAGAGATGGATTGTGTCTCCGCTCTGGGATTAGAGCTGTAAAGTGCTGTGAGAGAAGCTAACAACATCTCTCCATCACTTTTAATTAGTAAGAGAGGGAGATCTGTTGGAGACATTCCTCAAGTGTGAATCTTTCTTTCTTGTTTATGGTGTGTTTGATGAGGGATGTGCTAAACTATGTATTTTAAAGTCGATAGGTCAGTGGGTTGTCTGAACGACTAGTTGATTAGTCTGTTAAGGAAACCCTGTAAGCTAGTTCAAGAGTCTTTTCCACCAGACAGCGATCAGATGCATTTCTGAATTTCCCATAGACTGGAGTGAGACCCTAGACGTCTCTTGAGCTATCGCCATGTTTTTTGGTGCCCTTTAATGTGGCGTGAAAGATTCCATGGAGCGCAGTTGAACCAATCATCTCTTCCGCTTCACTATTAGTAACAGGACGAACTAAATATGAATGAACATCAGAAGGTATGATAAAAAAAGATACAGTACAACTTACTAGGGCTGGGCGGTATATCGAGTTTGTACGATATATCGATATATTTTTTTAGAAACGATATGGAATGAGGCAATACCGTTTATATCGATACAGTAGTTTGATATGAACACATCTGAAAATTAGCGGAGGACGCAGTGTGAGCTGCTGCAGTGAAAGTACATAGTACAATTTGTCCTAAACATGACACAAGCTTTTATTAAGGGCTTCAAAATAGATATAGTTAACAAGTTTAAAGCAGCTTGCCCTGTCAGATCCTCTGACAGATACTGTTGCTGACTGACATATAAAAACTTGCGCTGTTTAATGCGTTTGAGATGTGGCTCTTTCCTCAGTGCTTAACTTACATTTCACAGGTATATTCTCCATCTGTAAATGTTAGAAAGTCAAACAAATATGTCCATTTCACTGTCAGGAGAGGACGAGCTTCTGCAAGTGAATCTCCGCTGAAATTCAAGCTTCTGTGAACGAGCGCCGCTGCGCGCATGCGTGCCAAACAGACGGAGCACAATAGAATAGTAGCGCAATAATTCTGACTAAAATATTTGTTGTTGGAGACAATAAATGTGCCATATGTGGCATTTTAAACCTACAAGTATATTTTTATGAAAGTGACCATTATAATGGGGTAATCAAAGGCAGGCTAATATAATTAGTTTGTGCGTTTGTTTTTATTTTCATTTTTAATTTAGCCTTTAGTCAATTTAAAAACAAGCTTTATTTTTGTTTTTAGATTGTACTGTTAGAATGTAATGTGATTTTTGAACTTTTTCCACATAATATATTGCATAGCCTACATTACATTGAGTATATTTGTTTCCATATCCTTCAATATCAACATTGTTTGTAGGATTGGTCCATTACCACCGCGGTTGTAAAAAAACTGCCACCGTCACAGCCCTACTTAGAGAGGAGCATTTTGCTAAATATAGCATGTTCATTATATTTTTACTTAACCTGTTCCTCAATATTTAATGTATGTTTTGAATAAATCCGTTTTATGACAGCCACCATTTAAATATTTATATATACTGTATATAAAAAAAATATATATTGATATATATAGAAACATAATTGTCATTTTAAAATGTATTATTATAATGTTATTATAAAACTACTTTAAATGTAAGTAGCCTACAAATCAGTTAATTTAATCTTTATTATTATAATGATGTACTAACTTAGGTTCCCTGTATAGTTTACTGCAGTGCTCCTACAATCCAGCCCTGGAGGGCCACTGTCCTGAAGAGTTTAAACCACCTCAAACCATGATTGATCCCACTTACCTGCAATTTTCCTGGTAACTTTCTAGAAGACCTTGACTAGCTTGTTCAGGTGTGTTTGACTTGCAGTGGCCCTCCAGGACCAGATTTGAGGAACCCTGGTTTACAGCATTGAGAGATTTTTTTTTGTTTTTTCTTAGAGTAAATTTTCCATGTACTGTACCTGATAGGCCCCAAATAAATCAATAAATAGAATTTAATCGAATAGAATCTAATCGAATTGGTGTCGTGTGAAACCAAATTGAATCGAATTGTGAAATGTGTCAATACCCAGCCCTAGTAAAAGTTATTTACTTGAAGCAAATGTTGTCTCTTCCCGTTATTTTCTTGTCAGAGTGCGCTAGAATGCTTTGTTTACATTTCTTCTGGGTGAGGATGTCCCCAGGCCCTGTTTACACCTGGTATTAAGATGCTTTTTGGTCGATCGGATCTCAAGTTGACGAGGCAGACACATACCCGTTTACACCTGGTGTTTTAATCCATCTCTTTTGTCCACTTTCAACCACTTCTGTCCTTACTTCTTCGAGGGGAGGGTCTCTGGGCGGATAAATGTTTGGGATTTTTTCAGATGTTTCGATCTAATGGACAAACTAACAGTTCTCTAGCAATTTTGGTACCATAGCAAGAATCTCTTTATTTTACCATGTCAACCAAACTAAATGAAAGGAGTTAATGATTAATGCTAGTAATGATTATAAGTAACATTAGCATTGTAGCCTATTAGTCTCCATGAATAACTGCAAGATTTAATGCACAGATCTCTTTTGACATATATTTTTTTGCCCCAGTGTTTTCCGTGTCTCAAAGCAGTTCCGTTAACAGTAAATGCTGCTCCACGTGAACTCATCTTTGCATCCGCTCTGAGTTTGGGTCGCTCATAATGAGCATTTGGGAAAGCAACATGTGCCAACCATCTTCCTGAACTTGTAATAAGAAGCACTTATAAACTGACTGTCTGCTTCCTGCGGTTCTCTGCCAAAATAAAGGTTGATGATTTACAGTTTGAAAATGAATAAATTAAAGAGCCATAAATATTAGTATTATAATTTTACAGTTTTACTGTAATATGAAAATATTATATATTGCAATTTAAATCTCAGTTTCTATTGGAAAAAAAATGCTGTTTATAGATTTGAGTGATTTCTGACAGGTAGTAGAGATCCAATGTATTCCAAAAAAAAAAAAAGATACACTAGTGGAGCTTACAATCACTATCTCTATCTATGTTTGATTTGACTCTGTTACTACTTAACTTTAAAAACACTGAGAATGCAGAGCTGTGCGGACGACAGGAAGTGAAACGTCGCCAGTGTACCTTTTAAACCATATGAGTGGGTGCATGTGTTAACCATATGTCACAGTTTGAGCCGTGTGCTTTAGACACGTGGAAAACAGCATCCCATGGGGCTGATCGCTGTAACTCCTAATTTTTTCTCTCTCTCTTTTGCTCTCTTCTCTTCTCTTGAGGCTGTAAATCTTTTAAAAGGCCTGTAACCATTCTGTCCTCTCTCTATTCATATCTATTGGCTTTTTTCCCCACCCCCTAGTAAAAGAACTTATAGTATTCCTGTTGTGAAATAGATATCCAAGCAGTCCTTGAATTTACAAGTAACTTAACTTCTGAATTGTGAAACACTGTGCTTTTTCACCTTTACAATGTCTGTAATCTACAGTTGCACACAGTGTAAGAATTCATCACCTACCCTAGAAACGCAGGGTCGGTCGTGTCACACGTCTCTCAGCCCATCACTTCTGCTCATGGCTCCCATGTTCCGCCCCAGGGCTGACTTCCTGTGACCTAGTTCATCTCAATGATGGGAGGGGTTTTGGCATCAGACTCCATTCCTTCAACATGCACTCTGGGAGGAGAGAGACAGATATTTAGGTAGACGGTTATTTTTGTAGTTCTGAGAGAACCGCAGAGGAAAACGTGTGGGAGACAGACAGACAGGCAGGCAGGCTGCAAAGACACTCGTCAAATGGATCGAGACTCAGACATGATAGTAGAATCTAGAGGTAAGAGCTAGTCAGGAAACTGGTTCATAGGCTCCTTCTCTCTGGGGATGCATAGCTCACATTTGTATACTGCATTTTTGACCTGCCTGGCTGGAAAATAAATCTTTAAATCATCAAGTAACCCCCCACCAAAGCACATTTACACACGTGCACACACAGCAAAAACATCTCTCCTTCTAGATTGCCACCATGCAACTGGTCTGTCCTGATGATAATGGTCGCCTAGGAAAAGCCAAATATCCAATATTTTTTAAACAATATTTATTTTTACCAAAATCACTTTTTTACCGTAAGCATAGTCTTAAAGGTGTTGAAAAGTGTTAAATGAATATAAAAGAGTTGTGAGAAAATAGAAACTGTCAGATCCGCGTCATGTGCGTCAGGTCATAAAGTGACCGGCCTAATAAACCTGCTGCTGTCATTAATGTAAATCAAAGAACAAAAGACAAAGATAAAAGCTTTACCTTTATCTTTTAAACCTACCTGATAATCTTAAAGCACTGTTTACAAGGTTACATGGGTCAAAAAAAAGAAGAAAACATTAACTTTTTTGTGCGTTTTTGGCGGACAGGTAAAAATCGGAACCGGCCTGACTGGACCAGTAGAAAAAACCCTTAGCGATGAGCCCTTATATATTAAAGGCACAGCATTTATTAATGTGAAGATTGTTTTAAGTTCACTTAAATTAAAAATAGTTTGTTATATATTTTATAAAGCCTATTAAATGTTCAAATTGATAGCTTTCAATTATACTGTAATGTTGAATGGCTATAATTAATGGCTAAAATTGAGGGGGAAAAATCCATGTATTCGAGACATCATTATCATTACTGGTATCAGTGATACTGGACTGCATTTATAGTGCTTTGTTAAAAGATGCCATTAAACAAATATTTAAAATATACCTTTGTTGTTTCTACATTACTTTGGAGATTCAGTGTGAAAGTATTACTATATATATATATATATATATATATATATATATATATTAGGGCTGTCAAAAGATTAATCGCGATTAATCGCATCCAAAATAAAATTTTGTGTTTACATAATATATGTGGGTGCACTGTGTATAATTATTTTATTTATATATAAATACACACACATGCATGTATATTTAAGAAAAAAATATTATTTATATATAAACTATTTATATTTATATATAATACAAATTATATATAAATCTATTTACAGTATATACATGAAAATATTTCTTAAATATATACAAGCATGTGTGTGTATTTATATATATAAAATAATTATACACAGTGCACCCACATATATTATGTAAACACAAACTTTTATTTTGGATGCGATTAATCGCGATTAATCATTTGACAGCCCTAATATATATGCATGTATGTGCTAGTTTATGTATATTGGTGTGTTAATGTGCATTATTTTTGAGGCAAATTTTTATTTGTTTGTTTTATAGGATGATGCCCGTCAGTTGTTTGCCCTGTCCGGGGCGGCAGAAGAACAGGGCATTCTGCCTGATGACCTGTCAAATGTCATCACCAGACTGTGGGCTGATGGAGGGGTACAGAGCTGCTTCACCCGTGCCAGAGAGTACCAGCTCAACGACTCCGCTGCATAGTGAGTTCTCTCTCCGTTATTGGTCAGAAAAGATATTGACCTATGACCATTCGTCAATATTCATGACAAACAAATATCATAGCACATAATGCTCAGCCTGTCAGATGATAAAAAATACATTTCCAGATGGAACAGGGTGGTGTACTATAGCATTGTGGCTATTTTTCTTGGAATATAAACATATTCAAATATTCAAAAGTTTTATATGGACATCATAACCACTCTGCTATAAGTGTATAAGTGTTTTTTTTTAACGAACAGCTAAAATAAAACTGACACCTACCCAAGAGTCCCTTTAAATTCAAAACGGATAGAAAGATGAAATTGTGTGATGAGAGGGCGGGTAGATCAGATAAATACGTCAAAGCGAGCAGAAACTCTGGCATTAACAGTTAACGGTCCGTTGAGAAACCAATTGCTATTAAATGGAGGATTGGCCTGGGTCAGGATTTCCAAGAATTTTCCCATGCTTGATACACTCAGAATCAATCAGGGGTAGGCGGAGCGTTCCCTCACTGGGGGATCACAGTCGATTTGGCCTTGAATTAGGAAATGAATCATGAATCATGATGTCATTTGTTGGTGGGAAAAGAGATTGCGGAAGGATAGAGGGAGTTCTAATCTTAGTTTTCATAATATTTAGTTGTGTTTGCTAGGTTCAGCAGATGTTTATGTGAGAGGTTTTACAGCCTGTGTGTGGGTGGGTGGAGAGAAGTGTGGTTTTACAGAGGCAGCCACTCCTTCCCCACCCTCAGAACAGAGGCTAAAATGTCTGTCAAAAAGAAAACCTCCTTTTAGAGAGATGCAGTCTATAGAAAGTATAATTCACTTATATTAAAAGCAATAAATGCAAATAGAAACCCTCCACATACACACTAGGATTCAAAGGTTTGGAATCAGTACTTTAAAAAAAAAATACTTTTTTTTAGCAAGGATGCATTCAATTGATCAAAAGTGACAGTAAAGACTTAAACGGTTACAAACTAATTCTGAAAAATGTAATGGTCTATTCATAAAAGAATACTGAAAAAAATTTTATCAGTTGCCACAAACTGTTTTCAACATTGATGGAGATATTAAATATAAACACAATTAAAGTTCGAGTTTAAATTGGCATAATGTATAGAAAATCTGTCATTATTGCTAAATGAACCCTGACAGGATATTTAGAACCCCGATGCTTACTAATTTTACATCTACTTGCCAAATAAATAAATAGTAATGAAATATAGATTTTGTGTTTTTAAATCATTTTATAATGTGAGAAGAAAGAGATTGCAGAGTGACATGAGACAATTGGATGGGCGATGGCTCAGAATCGGAATTCAAATTTATACCAAAAGTGTCTAATTGAGTATAGGTTGGTGCTTTGTGAAGACTAGTGGAGTTCATGTACGATCCATCTTTGTTAGAAACCTGCCTAGGGCTGATCCGAATACCATTTTTTTGAGCTTCGAAGCCTCGGTATTATATTTCACCAGATTTTATAGTGTAAAAGATATTCAAGCGTGAATGAGAACCGTTTTGAGGGGGATGCCAGGTGTGCAAAAAAAAAAAAAAAAACGAATATTCGAATGTTACATTTTCAAATCGAATACCAACCCACCGAACGAATATTCGAATTTTCGAATATTCGGGTCCAGCCCTAAACCTGCCCTCCCAAAACTAAGTTAGAAGCACACAGTTCTCTAGAAAACCAATGTATGCTGTAGCGTTAAGATTAGTTTTCACTGGAACCGGAATTGGACCATATCTTTCTTCCCTGAAATCTTCCCAGCCTCTGAACCAGAGCCAGATGTCCAGCACAGCAAAACAAAACAAGACAAACTTCCTGTGCATCAAAGAAAAGACCATATTTTTTTTGTCTGTTTGCACAGATCTTGCCATACACACACACTTACTGTGTTCAGATTCAGAATAACAGTACTAGTAGTGCCTACATCAGTAAATAGCATGCACTGAATCCCATCAGATGTTTTATACTGGTGTATTATTTTGAACAGCCACTGTATTAAGTGCCTAGTGTTGGTGTATTGTTCTCATTAGAGATCCACAGCTACAGTGTCAGACTGTACTCTTGGCTTTGATAAACTCTAGCTGCGTTTATCAGAGACATGACTTTAATTCCCCGAACCTTAAATGATAGCATGTGGTCATTAATCTCTCTCTACACACAGTCAGCACACCCCTTAGTCCTGCACCCTACAGGCTAGACCTTTCATTGCATAAATCACAGCACACCATGTACTTAAGTTTGAATAATAGAATAAATACGTCTTCAAGAGAGCCCTCCAAAACATAGCTCACTCAAGCCGAAATGTGAAACTAAATGTTTTTAAATGTCTTTTTTTTTCTGTTTTCTGAGAGGGGAGGGGGGGGGGGGGGGGTTGATTTAGGTAAGAACTGCAAAGGCAGCTCTAAGCCATGCTTTGTGAAGAGGGATTATCAGCACTTTTCAATTTGATTTAGGTTGTGCTTGATTGTTTAATGCCTGAGGATTCCAGTGGAGTGCGAGTGACTGCGGGGATCCACACAATATTGAGAGACCGTTCGCAGGACTGATAAACATATAACATCTGCTACATCGAACAGCCTCCACCAATCCTGTTTATACCTTGTATTAAAATGCGTTTTGGTCGATCTGATCACAAGTGCACGACACTAAATACAGGTGTAAACGGGGTCTAAAACATTTTGAGCTTGTCCACTTTCGACCAATTCCAGAGGTATGTAAATAGCACAAGCTTATTTTGTCCATTAGATCGAAAGATCTGAAAAAACGCATACATTTACCTGCCCATAGACCCTCGAAGAAATCAGGATAGAAGTGGTTGAAAGTGGATTAAAATACCAGGTGTAAACGGGTATTTGTCTCCCTCGTCTACTTGTCATCCGATCGACCAAAACGCATCTTAATACCAGGTGTAAATGGGGCCTAAGAAAGAAAGAAAACAACTTGGAGGAACTTATGCTGTGTTGGTCTTTTGTGATATTGAAAACTTGAATTCTTGGTTCGTCATGGAACCGTACATTTGAGCTGTAGTGGGATTGTACGGCATTAGGTGGAGCAATAACATTCAGTGTTTCTGGCAGGAGTTCTTGCCTACGCAGCTTATCCAAGCTGTGTTACTGTGAGTCTTTATCAGCCTTTGATTGGCAGCTGAATGAAGATCTGCATTGTCACTCTCGCAGCATAGGCGAGAGATTTAGGCGGATCGTCTGCTCTCTGTGTGCAATCGTCTAATCAGATTTCCAAACAGTGTTTTGCATAAGAACATCTACAAGGCCAATGCTGATACAACTGAGAGACAGAAGTGTACAATACTTTGTATTATATACACCTAAAACATATTTGACTTGTGTATATTTAGAGAGAATATTTAGTATTTTATGGCAGAGGTTTTCAGAGTAAAAGTTGGGTGCTTGGGTGTCTGCACAAAAATCTTTTTTTACTCTCAAATTTTCCAGTCAAAATTAACTAGTTAACTTCAGGTGTCAAATATTCTTAAGGAATAATTGACGACGAGCCGTTGAATAATTAGAAAAATAATGCACACCAGAGGTGGTAATGCGTCTACAACGCGAAGCGGTGTCCCAAGCCTCCGTTGCTAATTCAAAAACATAATTTTAGAGCTAGTAACTGAGGCTTCAGCCAGTGATAGCGGACTAATGCAGTTAGAGAGAGACGTGTGAATTACCTGAATGAGTCTGTTCGTCTCTCAACAGTGTTCAGCAGCAGTGTCTTTACTAATAGCGAAACTAAGTTTATCTACTCCAAGAACAGCGCCGTTATTACTTTGGTAGTGAGAAATGTCATGTAGCTTTTAAGTTGCTAAATACTTAACTGATAAAATCGTCGCACTGATAACACTTTTCTGTGCGAGTGTGTGTGTCCGTACTGTATGTGTGTGCGTTTGAGTGGAGAGCCGGAGAAAGAGAGTATGTGTATTCTGTACATAATAAAACGTAATTTTGTGGTAAAAACATGGAAATACTTTGTCATTTTTATCCTATTTTTTTTACTATATTTGCTTGGTCAGTGTCATTGTTGGTTTTGTGTATTTGTTGTTGTAGGCTGTAGGGAACTTTGAAATAACTGAAATCATTTGGCGAAGTGATGTGAAACTTAAATGCGGTCAAGACCGGCTGCTAGTAGGTCAAGAACTACTTTAGCCGTGCGTTTCCCTGAAATAAATAATTGCATACCTCAGAACATTAGTCAACCAATCAGATTCAAGCATTCAACAGCCCTGTAGTATAACACTATATATATATATGTGAATATATTTTAAAATGCAATTTATTTCTGTGTTGGTAAAGCTGTATTTTCAGCATCAGTCTTCAGTGTCACATAATCCTTCAGAAATCATTCTAATATGATGATTTGATGCTCAAGAAACATTTTATTATCAGTTGAAAACATTTTTTTTTACAGGATTATTTGATGAATAGAAATTTTAAAAGAACAGCATTTATCTGAAATAGAAAGATTTTGCAACATTATCACTACCGTTCAAAAGTTTGGGGTCAGTATGTTTTTTTTTTTGGGAAGAAATTAAAACAAATCAATAATTTTATTAAGCAAGGATGCATTAAATTGATCAAAAGTGACCGTATAGACATTTATTATGTTATATAAATGCTGTTCTTTTGAACTTTCTACTAATCAAAGAATTCAGCTTTGATCACAGGAATAAATTACATTTTAAAATATGTTCATATATTCAAAATATATTTTGAATCAAATGAATGAAGCCTTGGTGAGCAGAAGAGACTTCTTTTAAAACATTAAAAAAAATTACCGTTCTAATAATTTTGGCCACCACTCTATATAGTAATTTTATGCAGTAGTGAGCATTGAAAGGGTCTAGTCTAGAAGGAAATGCTATTATTTAAAAAGCTAATTGTTACATGTACCATCCTGTGTGTGTTTTGCAGTTATCTGAATGACATGGAGAGGATAGCCAAAGCAGACTACATCCCAACCCAGCAGGACGTCCTGAGGACCAGAGTGAAGACCACTGGCATCGTAGAGACACATTTCACCTTCAAAGACCTACACTTCAAGTGAGAAACCTCTAAGCACATGGATGTCTATTTCGCTCTGATTTTAACAGATTATTTTATTCACACTCTCTAGTAGCAGCGCTAACGTGTGTTCACACACATTCGCACTTCAAACAACTCATCTGCCATATCGGAACAGCCTTCACTATTTCCGTTAGCTAGAAATACCCTCTTTAACCCTCAATGGAATTAATTCCATGCCATCCATGTGTTCTGGCCTGAGGTTTTGGGATTAATTTCTCTTAAAACTGTTGAGGGCGTTTGGTTTTAGGAGTTTATGGGATTTAGCAAGGCTGGAATGATTCTCTTTGAATGAGTCGGCTTTAATCTACAGAAGAAATGTCAGCCCAACCTTTAGAAAGATCAAACACAAGCCAGCTGTCCAAGATGGTCTATCACTTTATTTAATGACTTGTAAATCATATTATGTATCGTGTGTAAAAAAAAAAAAGAAAAGAAAGAAAATGCCACACAAGAGGGAGGATGATTATGGAATTTCCTAGAAATGCCAATGACGTCTTTTCCAGGTCCACACGGTTAAAGAGACAAATGTGTGACAGACAGAAATAAATGACTCCTGCAACAGACAGGAAGTCCCAGCTCTTCCATCCTCCCTCCCAGTCTCATCCATTCTGCTTTCAACCCCTCCATTACCATAGAAACAAAGCCCAGACTCAAATGTCAACAAATGCCAGTGACAGATGTGAACGTCCGGACCTAAAGAAGAGGAAAGGACATACAGTAATAAACCTCTCTAAGGGCATCAGAATACTGAGTCAGCAACCTCAATATTCTGCTGACAAAGCATTGGAAATTTCCCACAAATTTCCAGTCGACAAAAACAATCATAAAACATAATAAAAACAGTCCATACCATGTGTACCACCAATACAATAACTAATGCTATTGGTTAAGACATGGTTGGAGGAGCTTTATGGTATGTTTTGATAGTTTATGAATGAAATTCAGAAAATAATGACAAAACTATTCCTTTAGGACAGTATGACATATTAAACAGGCTGTTCTTCTGCTCATTACATCTTTATTACATTTGCGTCAGATTAAATAATCTGTCTGCTTATTTGGATGAATGTATGTTCTGCCTTGCTTTGTTGGTTGTTCAGGGCATTTTTGTCATTGATTACTTGATCATTTGTCTGTATGCTGGCCATTTACGTGTCTCCTCTCTCTCTCCATAGGATGTTTGATGTCGGCGGCCAGCGTTCAGAGAGGAAGAAGTGGATCCACTGTTTCGAAGGTGTGACGGCCATTATCTTCTGTGTGGCCATGAGTGCGTACGACCTGGTGCTGGCTGAGGATGAAGAAATGGTGAGATCCTCTTAGCTTTTACCCCAGATCAGTTAAGAATCAAAGAGGCTGCACTTGTACACTTCTGCACAATTTGTTTTGTTAGTCAAGGTTTAATTTAGTTCTACGTGACCATGTTTCACCCTCTGTATTGTTAGAATTAAATATGCTGCTTTTCTACCGCACCTTTAAGACTTCTTCGCGTATGATACGGCATAGACTGCCGTTCAAAAGTTTGGGTTTGGTAAGATTTCTTTAATCAAAAGTAGTCAAAACAGTAATATTGAAAAATATTATTCCTGATTGCAAATCTTTACTCCAGTCGTCAGTGTCACATCCTTCAGAAATCATTCTAAAATGCTGGTTTGCTTCTCAAGAAACATTTCTTATTATTATCAATGTTTTTCATGATTCTTTGATGAATACAACGTTCAAAAGAACAGCATTTTTTTAAATTATAAATGTCTTTACTGTCACTTTTGATCAATTTAATACACAAGTACTAATTTCTTTCTTTACATTTAAAAAAAAAAAATCTCTCTGACCCAAGCTTTGGAACGGTAGTGTAGTTGCGTCATATTTCAGGCTTTCTTTCATCAATACAGGCCTGATTAATGAACCGGTTCTTAATTCCACCACAGAATCGAATGCACGAGAGCATGAAGCTCTTCGACAGCATCTGCAACAACAAGTGGTTCACCGAGACCTCCATCATTCTCTTCCTCAACAAGAAAGACCTGTTTGAGCAGAAGATCATACACAGCCCCTTGACCATCTGCTTCCCTGAGTATGCAGGTACTATAAAACAGCCAACTTCCCAATAAATCATCTAAATCAAGTGCACAAGTGCTCCAGAAGTGCTTTTGAGTGCTTCAGTTCAATAAAATGCAAGCTCATTGCTTTACCTATGCATTAAAGAAAACATGAAATCAATACAGACCTTTTTAGTTTCTTGATAATTGTACCTGGTCTTTTTGTGCCATAAAAATAAAATACATTAATCATATTAAATTGTTAATATTAATTTATAATAATTCATATTAGATTATTGTAGCATTAATATTAATAATGCATATTAATAATCGTATACAAAACGGTTTGGAACGACATGAAGGTGAATAATTAATGACAGATTTTTCATTTTTGGGAGAACTATCCCTTCAACCAATACTATCATTGCCTACTTTTCACGATCCAATCAAATGCTCATAAATCTGTCCTACATTATTTCAGGCTGAGTATTCGTTTCCACCCTGAAATGCATCACATTACAGAAGTTAAAATGTGTTGCTAATGCCATATTCATGTTGTCTTTGAAGCATGCACATATTCCATGTGCAAAAACAGACCAATCCAAACCAGTTTAATTCAGGCATTTCCAGTCTTTGTGAGGCTGTTCACTTCAAGTGCTCATCAAGGGGTTTATTCAAATGAGGTCCACTTTGGGTGTCCATCAATGTTGATATCCAAAAGGCCAGCAATTCATTATATCCCATGCAGAGTAGTGCATGGGACATCGATCTAACAGAGCAAGCGGCTTTATTGATATCCATCAATTGGAAGAGATCATGTGTCATTTTAATGATCAAAGTGGGAATCATTGTGAGTGTGAACTTTCGATTTCATGTTGTTTTCCAATTTTTCCGGCTTCCTGTCTTTCAGTTATTTCCTGTCTTTCCGTCTCCATCCTTCCCTCCTGTTTTCTCATTGTGCTTTGTTTTTCCCCTCTCGACAAGGTGCCAACAACTACGACGAGGCCGCCGAGTACATCCGCAGCAAGTTCGAGGACCTGAACAAGAAGAAAGAAACCAAGGAGATTTACCCTCACTTCACCTGTGCCACAGACACCAAGAACGTGCAGTTCGTTTTCGACGCTGTCACCGACGTCATCATCAAAAACAACCTGAAGGATTGTGGGCTCTTCTAGAGCACAAAAACAGGAAGGTGAGTCGAGGTAAGAAATGCACAAAAACCAGTGTCCTGTCTTGTTATACTACTTTGCTTGGCATTCTAACTTATTTCTCTTCCTCTTTTAGATTACTTGAAACAGTTTTGATGACCAGAGGAAGCAGGGGTGGAATACGTCCCGGGCATCTGCTCTGGCCAACCACGACGACTGATTGCTCAGAGGAGCCCGACACAATTTCAATGATTGCCAACAACCTTAGCCTCTGTCCTCCCTCCCTCCGGACACCGTCCCATCATTGTGTTTGACATTTAATATCTGTATTAATAACTCCTTGGGCTACGACACAAATCGCCAACTGTTGTATTATCCATTGTCCATTTGTGTTGTTTATTTTCTCTCCTTTTGTTCATTTTTTTTTCCTTCCCCTCCCGAGTAATAGCAGAGGCAACAAAATGTTTTATATGATACTTTCATTTTACTCTAGGGAATATGATTTGCAAATTTTATTCAACTTTTAATTGCATAATGCTTATTTTTTAAACTACCAGCAGGCATTGGATATAGAGTATGATTGAAAAAGGAAAGCGCTTTTTTTATGATGTTTACATGACGTCCTTGTTGATAGCAAAATGGAAAGTTTTCCTGCATGATAGAAGATAGCAAATATATCAATACAAGTAATCAGTTCACATCAGCGTAACATTCCTTTTTAAAATTAAATTAAAAAAAAGTACAAAAACAACAAAAAACTTTTAAAAAAGCACAAAAAAAGCTTCACAAATGGAGAAAGAACTGCTAAAATGTAACTGATATTTAAAGTATGTACGTAACAGTATCTAACAATCTTTTTCCTTCTTTTCTATCTTCTCATTCCTCTTTCTAGCATTCTGTTTGTGCCTTGACTTCCGTTTACAATGGACTTTATTCTGTCCCCCAGTTGTCCTACTGTACGTAAACATTTCTGCTCCAGAAATTTCACACCATGTAAGAATAAATAGTGATTAATAATGGAAATCTAATTGAGAAAAAGGGTAGTGTTTTTTTGTTTTGTTTTTTGTTCCTTTTTTTTTTGGTAAAGAATAAAGTTCTTTTGAAAGTCCTATATAATGATTTAATTTAAATAAAAGTTCATTCACTAGATGAAGCTCTGCCAGCTGTGGTTTTTATTTCAAGTGTACATTTTGTGGAGGTTAATAAGTTCACTTCAGTGGCTGAATAATTAATTTAATATCAGTAATAAAATACACATTTAAGGACTTGCTGTAGGGCATCAACTGGAACATTTTCTAATTTTAGTATATTATGCTTTAGCTGAAATTGGCTAAGCATTACCTGGAGAGGTCTGTAAGAACATTAACTAACTTAATTATTTAAGAACATTAAGATTCATTTCTTTTCTAAGATCAGACAGCTGGAAGATAAGGCTCGTTGCTGAATTAAACAAGTAACCGGCCTGTTACTGTCGAAAGACAGAAAATCTCAGGTTAATTAATCACCGTGTTCGGAACATATGCTTCTCAAAATTATAATTACATTCATTTGGAAATGTCTCACACACTGTAATCTAACCTGGGTCTTGAGCTTTCCCATTAAACCTCTACAAATGAATGGAAAATATGGTTTTAAGATCTGAAGTCCCCCTTGTATGCTGTCCTTTGGCAGACTGACACTGTCATCTAGTGGCTGTTTTTTGAAATGGCACCATACTATAGTAGCCTATTATCAATCTTTTTAACTATTAAATCTACATAATCTCACTAATCATAAACAGATTTGACCCACCTTGTCGTTCTGATCTAATGCTGATGGATTCTGTTCAGTTAGCGTGAGTAGGCCTACTGAGAATTTAAGTGAGAAACAACAAACCTGAGAAACCCATTTCTCAAATTAATTTCCAGCTCACCTGCCATTCAATAGAAGTTCAGTTAAATCTTATGTTCGACAAACTGGTGTAGTGCTACTGTGCACACCAAAGAATGAACGACAATTGTATATTAAAAGTAAAACTAGCGTAGCCTAAGAAAAAAAAACCCTTTTTTTCCTTACATTTTCCTTACAAAAAGTAAAGCTGGTTTACACAGAATGAGTTTTTTATGCGTTCCAATCTACAGTCTATGGTTCCAATGCGCTGTTTTTTTTTGTGTGATTTTTTTTCTAGGATTCTTTGTAACGTTACATGCGTGTCGCGCATTGTTGACGGTTGCGAAACTCGCGCGTGCGTACCGCATTTTGTGGCATTTAACCCTCTGGGCTTCTTCGGTCAAAAATGACCGAAACAGTATACGTTTTGAAATGTTTAATTTTTTTGCTTCATCGGAGGGGGATGAAACTTGGTGACTTTTGTTGTATTACCTATGTGAACACACAAAAAAATCAAGGAGATGATTCGGATATGTTAAAGGGTCTTAAAAAAAATAGTCACACTTAGCTTCCTTTCGGTCAAAAATGACCGACATAGGAAATGAATGGGAAATACGAAAAAATAGGAAAACTCAGAGAAACTTTTGGTGGTACAAACTACAGATCCGCCACTGTGCAGAAAAAAAGTGTACAGCAATGAAGGGGTGACACTCTAAAACATCAAGAGTGCAAATAAGATCACCTCCCCCCCCCCCACACACACACACCCACGCACACAAACACACACACACACACAGAGAAATGAATAGGAAAGACTGTAACAGCAAATGTTGAGAAAATGCTAAATAAAATCAAAAATTAAAATAAAGTACAAAAGATAGGCTACTCTTTCTCGCTCAAATGCACACACACACACCTCATCAGGGACGGACTGGGGCTAAAAAACAGCCCTGGACTTTCTCCCAAATAGGCCCATCATCCAGCCATTCGCCCCTAGCCACTAGGATGTCCTGATACTATGCCACAATACTGTAACTTATATCAGACAAGGTATTCACAGCAAGTAATATCTCAAAAATAATGATGACAATTGGGGTTTTGTTTATTAATGAAGCCTCAGTCTTCAAATAAAAAACAACAAAATGTACAATGCCATTACATCTGCATTGAAAATAAAATACAAATAATGAAATGTCACTGGCTACAGAAACCCTAATTACACAAACTTGTAATTATAAAACATATAGTTACTATATACCAGGGGTCTCCAACCTTTTTGTGTGCGAGGGCTAAAGGGATAAAATAATCTAGAAGGGCTATACTCAAACATATTTATTATACATATAACATGGTGGTGTTTTTTTTACCTTACCTTTACCTTTACTTTTAACTTTAACTTTTTTACTTTTCACCATTATATGCGAAATAATAAAATATCTTGATATTCTGGTTCAACAATTCCTGAAAAAATTGTAATATATATATATATTATTCTCTAAAAACCTATTGTAGCATAAACATTTAGTATAAATATTTAATGCAAAATAAATAAATAAACTGCCATAACTTCTAAACAAAAACATTACTGCATTACATTTAATAGCCTACACTTATAGGCCTACATGACTATTAATATAACAGCATTTTTAATATGAATACAGGCACATTTCTGCCAAAAAAATTGTTTTACTAAGTTACAGTTAATTCATAAGTTGTGGAGTGAAATGTCTTCTAACTGGTTTGTTCTTGGAACAATGTTTCACCTGTTTTTTTGCATCAAGATGTTGAGAATATCAGCGCTGTTTAATCTGGCTTTTAACTAGCATAAATCACAGCCATCTGTGGGTTTATAATAGAGATAGAGAATTCTGCACTGAATTGAAATGCTTCTCAGTGGATCGCGCAACTCTGTGTAATAACGTTCGCGTGATCGAGATCAGTCCGCACAGCTGCTTCGGCCGCGATCGCAGTTTTTTGGGCCGAGCTGATAATGCTCGGCGCTGGCATCCAATTTAAAGGTGCATTGCTGCCACCTACAGTACTGGAGTGTGAAACAGATTAGTGGGGGGAAAAAACAGGTTATGACTGCGTGTGTGGCGGGTGGTGGGCCGGCCCGCCGGCCGTCCTGGAGTACCGGCCGTTCTGTGATACTCCAGATCACACAGATGGCCAGTCCGCCCCTGCACCTCATCATGTCTAAAACAACAATAATGAATCAAAAAGCCTTTCTATGTTTTATATAGGAAGCCTACAGGCGGTTACGGACATTACACACATTTATACATTTTTACTTATCTAAAAAAAAAAGAAAATAATAAAAAAAGTAGTCTTTTAGCATATCTAAATATATATCTAAATAAAAAAAACTAATAAGAGAGAGAAATCATGTCTAAAACAGCAATAGGAATCAAAAAGCATTTCTATGTATTTACATAGGAAGCTATGGGCAGCCTACAGGCGGTTACGGACATTACACACTTTAAAACATTTTTAAAGCCACTGGATGGCGGTATTCTCACTTGAAATTTTTTTTGCCTGCTGCCAGCATTATATTTTAATGTGCCACGTTGAGTTTTCGGGAAAATTTTTTTTTTATAATAATAATAAAAAAATAAAAAAAAATCTAATGGAAAAAATAGCTCATAAAAATTATATAAATAATGCAAAGTATCATAAAAATCTTTACAAATGCTAAATAATAATAAGAAAATATTATTGAACAAAAATATATTTGAATGGTTTTCCTGGGGGGAAAAAAAAGTTACATTTTAAGGCTTCGGTCTTTTTTGACCGAAAGGAAGCCAAGTGTAACCCCTAAACAAAGAAGCCCAGAGGGTTAAAAAATTTTAAGTAAAAATGCGCGAAAAATTACTTTTTAGTGTGTGAGTGAACTGTTGGCTGATGTAGAAATACTAATGGTAAGAAACTGTAATTACAATACATTTTTGTACGGAACATAATGTTTTTATAATGTTTATGTATAGCCCCCCCCCCCCCCCCCCCCCCCCCAGCAGCAGAGCTCGTGTGATGGAAAAGAGAACCACAAACCAGGGCTGTGAATCCCAGAACTCACTCACTCACTCACTCAACACGCTTTTGTCTGGAGAATACAGACACACAAACAGGTACATGCATCTGTAGGAATAGTGAGTGTCTATTATTAGAAAGAAAAAAATCGTGTGTAGGCTGAGAGGAAATGCTCAGTGTTGTGGTTGTAGTACTTGCAGTGGGTTTAGTGGTGGTCAATGGCACAACGGTAATAAAAATGACAATTTCAGTGTTGTATTTCCCATCAGACACCTGAATGGTGACCTCAAACATGGTTGATGTTCAGCTTTGACTGTTGAATTCATAGTAATGATTGTGATGTTAACATTGGTGATTGTGCAGCAGAAGGGTGACTGGGAACTCCAGATAATGGTTTTATATGAGAGTGGGTCACAGACTGGAGAGTTATCGTTTCCATTCTGCACTATAAGAGAAAGAGAATAATGTGAACGTCTGCATCACTTTTAACTTTTCTGAAAAGATAGTGGCTCTCAACTGGTTGGGCGTGACAATGCTACTACAGTAAATGCAATGCAATATTCTACAGCAAAAAAGGCATTAACATTTTAAATATTTATATATTTTCTTCTTTCAAACGCATATTATGCCACAAGTTCCTCTGTCACTTAACAATATGGCTAATACATAGGCAGAGTGTGTGTTTTTGTATTCAGTATTCAGCTGGTGAATCACACTTTTGGTGTGATTGTCCAGTTCTGTAGCCAAATACAGCTGTCCAACGGATTGAAAAAGCAGGACTGATGCAGGACAATGTGATTATTGTGGAGGGTAATTGAAATAATCATTTAAAATTACGTTTGGAGTATAATGGACCATTTATGAGCATTTAAGTTGGGATGATCCATATGATCTCACCTCCGACTGGATCAATGGTGAAACCTGAGTCTCCTCTTGAGATGGCCAGTCGGAGGGAGTTAAAGGGCCAGTCTCGATCGACGGCATTCACCACTCCTACGACGGGTGTCTTCAGGGACGGGCAGCACCAACGGACTCACAATCTGAGGGTCAAACTCATCTACTGGAGTGACTGTGATCAGGATCTGGAATCACTTTTGACTGCAGTTCATACACATTTGAAATGCATTTTAGTTCACATGACCGTCTAACCTACTGGGTGAATTCAAAATGTCAATTATTTTGTTTGTTTGCCAGGGAATTTATTCCCAGAGCTGGTGGCACTTAATTACAATTGATTTATATTCATTTGGTATCATATTTGTACATCTTAGATACATAGATATTTAGTTAATTTCAACTGAAAATGTAAAATATATATATATATTTGTATTATTGTTATCAAATCTGATGGTATTGATTGACTATATTAATTATATTTTCTGGTACATATTGCGTATTGACTCCTGAGAGACCAATATGAGCTTCTAATGATGAGGAATAAAATTAAAATGCTGTAAAAATTTAAATTATTTATGAGCTTTGTGACTTGTTAGAGGAGGGTTAGAGCCAATGGCTACCATCAACTGTTTGATTACCAACATTTTTCAAAATATCTTCTTTTGTATTCAACAGAATAAATAAACTCTTACAGGTTTGGAACAACATGAGGAACATAAATGACGACAACATTTTCATTTTTTAACATCAGAAGGTTTAGAATATTCTGGTTGCTAGAGTGTGTCTTACCAAAGACTTCGTAGCCACAATGCTTATATACAAAAAATACATTGCTGAATTATTAGATTTTGATACCTTACTGTCAGATTATATATTCAATACAGTAATAATGCTGAATATATTCATTTGCTTATATTCAGGTGACCTGGATGGTGAAGATGTTGGTGGGATTGATGACGGGATCCTCAAACACAGCTGATAGTGTGCCCGAGAGGATCTGAAACTCCAGCAGAACGGCTCTGAGAACAGTGCTCTCCAACACATCCACCCATGCAGGCAGGTGAACGAAAGCCTAGAACAGATCACAGATCAGTCATTAAACCTATCATAGCCACTTTTTGTTGCAAAATGACTCAATGAGGTCATCGAAGTGATTGTAAAAGTATAAGTATAGTTTTACATATGGATGCACTGTCCCTGCAGTACATGCTTCATGGTTTGAGTTTTTAAATGAATGCACATTTTTGTAGATGGATTTACAGCTGTGGTGATGGTTGTACTGGGAGTAGTTGTAGCTCTCACTGAGAGTAGAACAAATGTATAAAAAGACAATTTTACAATCCGAAAGCATGTGCATTTTGTTTCACTGTTAAAAAAAAGTTGTTGCTTATTGCGGGGGGGGGGGGGGGAGAATCCTATAGCCTGTTAAAGTGCACTTAGCATACGTAAAGTAACACAAAGTATAGAATAATTTCTAGAACTTTAGTGGGATTCTGTAATATTATAGGCCTATAATAATATTAAATCCACAATACATTAATATAAGTCCATAATATAGTAATAACCTAAAGACAGTAAGTAAATAAATAAACTTAATTCGTCTATTTCCAGTAGTTGTTTGGGCAGCTTTTAAAATGTAATTGTGCATATTAGATAATCTTAAATCACACCAACACATCAAATTATTAAATATTGCGCAATACATGTAAATATTAAACACAAATACCACCAAATATTGCTGTTAATGGTACACTGATATAACTTACCTGTATACAGGGAATTCTGTGACAGGACACAACACACATTTGCTGTCCATATCTTTTTATTTAGAAAGTGCAGGTAAAGTTTGGATGAACTTCTCTCTTTGTGCACTTGGAGATTGGTAAATGTTTGTTTTACACTCCCTTGGTTGCTTGGAAGTCTGAATCACTAGCACACTAGAAATGTGCCAGTATAAATTAGTTTATAGGTTCGGGCTGGTCTAGCTGAACTTTGTCCTTATTTTTATATATGAAAAGCAAACTGATTGTAGACCTATAGATTACTGTTGTTATAAACACTAACTTTTAGCAGCATGTGTTGTGTTGTTGCTTTTCGGTGAAGGCAAATAAAGAAACAAATCTTGAAGACATGCCCAGGTTGCTGATCTGACATATAGTAAACTTGTGCATTAAGGTTTAACGCTTCAGGAAGATCACTTTAACAACCAGGATGAAGTGGCCATCTTTAACACAATGGGTGGAATCACAGGTTTAGGCAATTGTTCACACTTTTTCCTATATGTAAACTGGATTGCCACATTTCAGCTTTGCATCACAAAAGGATCAACTTTATTGTACAGCCATGTTTTTGTGTGCAAGCCTAATCATCCAAACACTTCTAATCTAACCTAATGTGTCACAGATTAGGATGGGAGAAAAATAAAGAATGGGAAGATTTTACTTTAATTACAATAAACACCTTGACAGTGGCATCAACCCCATGTGGCTTTGTGGGAATTTCGTTGAATTGGTTGAGAAAATAATATTTTCGCAGAACTAGGCAAAGTTTATTTTCTGAAAATGCAAAAAAAGAAAGAATCGGACGATGCTACGTTTTCTCCGACCGCCAGAGAGCGCTACTCAACACGCCGTGAATATCACTAACTTACTCTTCTGAATGTCATCTCATATGGACATTCACACATTACATACACATCCACATTATCAGGGAACATTATGCTGATAACAGCAGGGTAAGTGAATTTGAGATCTGCGTCTCTGAAACAGCAGTACATCTTTAACATATTTAAAGATGCGAAAATAGGATTCTCAAATGAGCAACTGTGGGCGACGACAAATGTCTCCTAGCCTAAATGTGTTCGTATATTAAAGCTGACGATGGTTTTCTAATGATTTAACATTGCTGCTTAACGGTATAGATTCGATTTTTAAGCTTAAATTAAGCTTTAAGGTATTAATTAACTAATTGTATTGTGCACCCATCGACAGCACGACATTTTAATACTCGCCACTTCAATGCTTGTTTCCTTGCCTTTCATACCAAGAATAGCAGTAAAATTGAATAAATATCTTAAGTGCTTATTTATAAATAAAAAAATTATGCAGATAGATAGAAAGAAAGAATAGAGGGATTATCGTATTGTGTTGGATATTTTCTGTAGTTATTTGGCATCACTGAATAATATTCTCATAATTTGAGCGAGGGTGGAAACGAGCGCTCAGATTTCAGGCGAGCTCTGATTGGCTCCAGCTGCGATAATTTGATTGGATTGCGCCGCGATGCTGCGCTGTGATTGGATGAGACGCGCATGCTAGAATGACACAGACGCACATTATATGAGCTTGTCTGCAGTGAGGGGCTCATGATCTGGAGTTTGAGTCACAACAGCCACATCTGCACTGCCTGGATTGTACTGATTTTGTGCTTCACAACAAATGTAAGTGCAAGACTTAGTTCCACATTTGATCAGCTTCATGCATGATTTTTTTTTTACCAGATAAAAGTTACTTTTGTTTTCCTAATTATTAAAATGCAAAATCGTATTTATTGCTTTATTTAACCTTTTTTGCTTTATTTAACTATTGCAAAGCATGATGTTTCATAAAACATTTTTTTTTTCAGGAGTATTTAAAGTTACTGGATTTTTGATCGTCATCATTCCAGAATCATGGTAAGCATGCCTCTAAATCATCAGCTCTCCACACTTTGTCTTGTTAATTACAATAGATTGTTTACTCTGTAGAACTACACTGATTAGTCATCACTTTACATTATGTGCAGCAAAGGATTAGTTATTGTGAAGTAATGTCCGTTGCTGAAATTTTAGCATATGGAATGACATCTGGACCTCATGCCAATCTGTGCATATAAATAATGCCAGTCACTCGACCCCGTCTGCATGCTATTATTGCTTTGTTCACGTGGTATCCACACTCTGTGTTTCTAAGCTGTTTTGTCAATTTAGATACAGATTTTAGCAAATATGTTAACAAAAACAAGATCTGTATCTGGCCAAAAAGCCAGAAAAGTTTCCCAAAGAGGGAAGATGTTGGTGTTGGCACTCACAGTTTGGAAAAATACTCATGCATTAGAGTATTTCAGACAAATGAAACAGAATAAGGCACTTGCATTATTGTGCTGGTTTTGTTTGTGATGAGTTATTCGAAATGAATATGCATTGGGGTGAATGCAACTACATCAAACATGGCAGTAGTAGCATTTATTAGTTAAGTTAGGAACTGGGACTTGTTGTCAATAGAGAACCTTTTGAGATTGTTAATCTCAGACTTATCTGGTCACATTTCCATTTTCTATATTTTATTTTAATGTGACTGTCTATGAATAAATGATGAAGCTTCAGTCTTGAAAGCAAGTAGTTTGTATTGAAATTGCAATTTACTCATTTCATCCATTTCAAATGAGGAAGCTATTGCTCTTCCATTTCTTGATTATGATTTGTGTGTATGTTTGTGTACATGTTTCTGACAGCATGGATGGAAGGTGTGGTAATTACTCTATTGAAAAGATATATTTCAGGTGTGGCTAGTAACAGGTTTATTCTAACTGATTGGTAGTAGTCATCCATCCTTTTTGATAGCTGGGCGGGAGTGTGTCCACACCATGTGCATTCATCGGTTGTTAAGTTTCCCTCTACCTAGAATAGAGTGGTTTTTCAGCTCCTCCAGATAAATGGAGCCATGCCCTCTCTAACAGTTCAGGTCCAAGCCTGTTTAAGGAGCATGATTAGTCAATCAGAGGAAAACAAAACCTATAGGAGGGTGACCCAAATGTAATTTAGTGGTGGTTATCTTCTAATTGTAGCTTGAGCTTAATTAAAATATAAGTATGTTTATGCATTTCAAAATTTTTGCACTGTTTCTTACTGTTTCTTTCTGTCTCTTTGCAGTTGTGTCTACAGGAATCTGGCGACTGTCTGCGGGAACAGATGCGTTATATGATGCGATCCCTGCAGGATCTAAAGCATTTGCGGCGGAGCTGCGCAGCGCCCCCTGTCGGACCTCCAGTGAGGTTGCGTGCTTGCAAGCAGCTGATAGCCCAGCGAGAACGGCGAGCACGCTTGAGGATCAGCGATGCCAGCGAGGCGAGCAGTTACGACTCTGCCTGCTGTCTGTCTAGCTCTCTGGAGGAGGAGGACACCGCCGGCGACCCATCGGCTGTTAGTTCACCGAGCAGCGAGCGAAGTCTGGAGTTTGATTCGGGTTACTCTGAGGCTTCCTGGCAGGATGAAGGAGTGGTGTTACGGCGCGCCAAAAACATCCGCGTATCTTCGTCTGCGTGTCTTCGCACCAACCAGGCCGCCAACTCCAGAGCGCGTCCGAAGTCAACTTCCGATGCTTGCTTGGAAAGTTGGACGGCGTTTGAGACCGCAAGTGACCCGGATGACTGGACTACGTCACTACTCACCCGCGGGCGTAACCGGCAGCCGCTAGTGCTGGGAGACAACAGCTTCGCTGATCTCATTGAGAACTGGATGGACTTACCGGAATGTCCGGAACAGACGGAACAAAAGCACAGCTCTGGACGCAGTTTCGCTAAAGACTTCATGGTAAATGTCAAACGGAGGATAGCCGGGATTTCACGGAGTGCTGATGGGCGAAGAAAGTCGTCAGATGGTACAAAGCTGAGCAAATCAATTATGGCTCCCAAACGACTTTCTTGCCAAGTTGACGTACAACACAAAATGCCATTCTTCTATAAATCTCACACAGGTCTGAACGAACTGGACACAGATTTCTTCAAGTTTACGGCACTCATGAAATCTGGAAGCAGAATGCCCATTGTCTGTAATGACATTATTGGGTACATATGACTAAAAACTGGACAATATCTAAATGGACAATATCTCCAGGAGAGACTAATTATTTTTTTATAAAAAGCTTTGTCCGTAATGCTATGTAAAATGCACAAAAATAAAAAAATTACAAAATAATACTGGTCATTGCATTGCTCTTGATGGCGGCCTCAATGAGCTCGATGAATGAAAGGAAATTCATGCAGCTAATAGGATTTTTTTGTTCGCTCAGCCTGTCATTATCGCAAAAAAACAGACAGGGTCCAGACATGAAGACAAGGGGTCTTATTTTACCCTGAAGGGGTTTATTTTGTGATAATGACCAGATGTGATAACCGGTGATAATGTACATTATCAAATTTATACCTGTATTTACACATACAAACAGTACAAAGGCTTTTTTTTTTTTCAAAGAAATAAATACTTATATTCAGCAAGGACACATTTAGATCAAAAGTGACAGTAAAGACATTTATAAAGTTAGAAAATATTTCTATTTGCTTTTCTTTAAACATCAAAAAATCGTATTAACTTATTTATCTTATACAAAAATGTATCAAGGTTTCCACAAAAATATTAAACAGCCCAACTGTTTTCAACGTTTATAATATTTAATATTCTTGAGCAGCAAATCAGCATATTAGAATGATATTTGAAGGATCATGTGGCAATGAAGACTGGAGTAATGATGCTGAAAATTCAGCTTTGCATCACAGGAATACATTTAAATTAAATTATAAAAAAAAGTATATTAAAATAGAGTATATATATATATTGATGCAAGTGGAATTTTTATTTTATTATATTACGAAACATGTTTTTGAATGTGCAGTGTCTGTACTTGTTCAGTTATAACCTTTAACCAGTTTTTGTTGTTATGAACAGCTGAAATTATTTTTAGCAGTTTACAGCAGTGGACAGGAACGCAGTGTTCCTTTGACTACAACTTCTTGCTTTTTGGCGTCTCTGGAGTGGAAAAAAGCAGAAAGATCTTTAGTAATGGCAGAAAGGCCCCTTACAGAAAAAACACATGAATTTCACATGTTATCACATGTTTTCCACATGTGCCCACATGTGACCACATGTGACCACATATGCCCACATGTGACCACATATAAACAACATGTCATCACATGTGAACAATGTTTCACCACATGTGAACAACATGTCACCACATGCAGTAATGTTCGACCACATGTGAACAACATGTCACCACATGCAGTAATGTTCGACCACATGTGAACAACATGTCACCACATGTGAACTTAATGGAACACGTGGCACATGTGGAAAACATGTTATAGGTAATAATGTGGAGCTCATGTGAAATATATTTGCACGTTGTAATAGGTTTTAACATGTGAATTATGTTACCACGTCACAAATACTGTACATTTTTAGCTTCAATAGCCTTTTTCACACAAAATGCATAGAACATAAAGCTTATAATGCATGTGTATATACTAACACTTATATACACGTATAGTTTTTAATGAGTTTTTGCAATACTTTTATTTCAACACTGTTTACCATTTCTAAAGCTATATTGTAAATATATTTTACATAATCAACAGTATATTATATTTGATATAATCAATAGGCTACTGCAAGCACGTTTTCAAATAAAATAAAGTGGATATTAAACTTTTCATTTTAAGTGCTGCATGATTTTGACGTGGTTTAATCAATGCCGTGCGCGTGAACTTTCGAGTATTTCAAACACTGGAGCGGCCGGCGCGCAGAGTTGCCATGGAAACGGCGCGGGACCACTGCTACTGGTAAGCAACAAAACTCCCTCTCTCGATGTTGTTTAAACTTTTCACGGCTTTTTCCAGGTGAGATTAGTCTCTAAAATCACACGAATAATACTCACAACTGTTTTTGACATTTCTCTTACTTGTAATTGACACGATTCTGTTAAAAATTTACATGGTGTAGTGTCTTCGGAAAAAGTCCGTTAGGATCTCAACCGTTTTCTGAAGAGGTAGCAGCTAGCTAGGCTAACGTAATGTTAACTCGGTTGAACTTTTATTTATTAAAGTTTGGGCTTTTAATCACCTCTTATGTGTAGATGAGAGGTTTTGTAAAGGTTTTACTTGGAAGTGAGCTAATTTATTTAACACAAACGTAAACATAACGTATCGGTGATGTTACTTTCAGGAGCAAGAAAATTGGCTGAAACTAACGTTAGCTCAATGGTAACGTTAAACACATTTTGATTAAAAAATGTTCTGTGATTTCAGTAGTAACAAAATAACCCATAACAGAGAGAAAGCTCCACGACTTCAACATTTCTGGAGAAAGCTGCTGCCGGAGAAGTAACGTTAGGACACAGGTGAGCCGAGGAAGCTCATTAAATAACCTCATTTTATTTCTCAATTTGTTTTTTTAAATTGTTTATTTTAAGAAGGTTTTGACATCCAAACGAAGTTACACCGTATGAGCAAAATTAAATGAATAAGTAAACCCAAAAACAAATTCTGTTATCCTAGTTAAGAAATTATATTCTGTATATTCTTTAAATTCTTTCTCTTTTCTGCATTTCACCTCTGCTGTAGCTTCTTTCCTTTCAATAAACCTGGCATTGCATTGTTGGCTCAGTGACAAATGGCTTGTTGTGTTCTTAGATCCTTCAGTGCTGATGCCCTTCAACGGAGCGGAGTGGAGCTGATCTTCATCTCTAAAGCACTATTGATGAACCATATGATTAGTAAGTAAAACGCCAAACATACACTAATGTCAAACATACACTAATTGTCTTGGTACAAATGTTTATGTCTCTTTCTCTTATGTTCACCAAAAAACATTAAAAACAATAATATTGTGAAATAATATAAATAAATAAAAACTGTTTTCTATGTGAATATATTGTAAAATGCAATTACTTCCTTTGATCAAAGCTGAATTTTCAGCATCACAGCTTCACATCATCCTTCATAAATTATTCTAATATGACGATTTGATGCTCAAAAAAACATTTATGATTATTATCAGTGTTGAAAACAGTTGTGCTGCTTCATATTTTTGTGTTTTTCAGGATTATTTGATGAATAGAAAGGTTAAAATAACAGCATTTATTTGAAACAGAAATCCTTACTCTCTCTTTTGATCAATTTAATGCATCCTTGCTGAGTAAAAATATGAATTTCTTCTTTTTTTTCTGTTCATTTTTAAATCTATCATTGACCCCAAATGTTTGAACATTAGTGTAAACTACCCTTCATATGTTTGTGGTCTATTTAACAATGAATCCTGGAGGGGAAAAAATGGTTTAAACTGTTACAATGGTTTACACAAACACATTAATCAGCACAACTGTTTTCAACATTGATAATAATCAGAAATGTTTTGGATGTTTACATGGTAAGAATGTATAGAATTCAAATATAAAAAACACTGACTCGTTAGGTCATGTTTACTCATTAAAGTCAGATGATTTCCTATTAATTCAATAGAATATGGTGACTTCAATTTACATGACGTCATGAGCAATCAAGTCATTTATATAGATCAGTGAGTAGTGCCCAGCATATCCAAGTCCACTAAAGGAGATTTCTCGCATTTTACCCCTAAACTCTGGAATATGAAGGTAAAAGAGTATCAAGACTCGAGCATGAACAATAAATACTTGTATGCTAAAATTTACACTCACAGCTCCAAAGTGAAAACCTCACCTAATATGCAATAACGTTGAAAAGATCACGGTTTCTGTCCTGACGAAAATGTTCTATTTTTTATTTTATTTTTTGCTTTGCAGAACAAGTCTGTGACTGACTTAATGAACCCAGTTGCTTTGGATCATGCTCAAAGATGTAAGGGCTACAAAAAGTTAACCAGAACTCTTATGGACTCCATCTTCTCTTTCGAAGAGATGGCAGCATGAACGGAAAAAAAGGGGTTGTTGGTGAAAAAAGAGCCTTGACCTACAAAAGGTGCAGCTAATAATTGGTAAGCATGTCTGAATATCTTTTATCAATAGTTATTATATATGACAAGCGCTGAGCGCGTCCGTCAGCGCCAGCCATAGCGCGGAAAGCACAGTTTGAATCTGACAGTTATGTCACTTCATGTCAAACTTGTTTTCAAATTTTAATGTAATCAATCTCATTTCTTACAGACCATGTCAAAAAGAGGCACCCAGGCATCGGAGGCACTGAGATCAAGGTCTGCATGGCACAAAAGTTAAAAGATCTGAGGAGACGAGCAGAAAGGTAATATTCAGACGATCCAACATCCAAGTGTGATCCCCATGTGGTCTGTTCACATTTGCGAAACCGACATGCGCGAGGACTGATGACTCAGTTTATTCCTCAGTCTACATTGTGATCTAATCACAAACTGTCAATAGTTTTTTTTATAAATGAGACGCACCACTCGTCTTATACAGTTGTTTAAGCAAGATGTATTTCCATAGCATATTTACGTAAAACGTTTAATGACATAATAACATTACAAATGAATAATAATTAATTATTAAGCCCCATAAAAATGCTTTTCAGAAACCTACGGGGTGACGTCACGGACACTACGTCCATATTTTTTTTTACAGTCTATGGTTTGCACTGCCCTAATCTTTGATCTTTTTCTATCCCAAAACAGGATGCCTGCTGCAGGAGACACAAAGGACTGAGACAACACACTTTCACAAACGCACACCACACACACACACATGCGCGTATACCTGCGTTTTTTGCGGCTTTTTATGTATAATTTTAATTTGGTTTTGCTTTGTTTGTTTTAAACATTCAATTTGTATTGCATATTTTGAAATGAAATAAAAAGTGAAAAAAATTTTTTTTTGAATTATTTGTTTTAATGTTGGGAAACATTAGGCTATAGAGCCTACACAAGAACATGGTAGGCCTACCGTTTTCTGTGGTATATTGCTTAATGATTTTTACATGGATTTCACATGAAGTTACAGGTTTACATGGTGTGTAGCTTTAACATGGATTGTTGATGGGTTTCAAATGTCATTCTATGGGTTTCACATGAGATATTTTACATTTCACATGATATCTCATGGGTTTCACATGTGATTAAATGTTTCACATGGGAATTTTACGTTTCACATGTAAGCTCATGGATTTCACATGGGAATTTTGGGTTTCACATGCAATCCCATGGGTTTCACATGTAATCACATGGGTTTCACATGCAATCACATGGGTTTCACATGCAATCCCATGGGTTTCACATGTAATCACATGGGTTTCACATGCAATCCCATGGGTTTCACATGTAATCACATGGGTTTCACATGTAATCACATGGGTTTCACATGGGTTTCACATCCCATGGGTTTCACATGTAATCACATGGGTTTCACATGCAATCCCATGGGTTTCACATGTAATCACATGGGTTTCACATGCAATCCCATGGGTTTCACATGGGAATATACATGGGTTTCACATGAAAATGTTCCAAAACCACACGTTTCCCATGTGCAAATTACCTTTAACATGTGCAAAGCACATGTGTTCCACATATTTCACATGTTAAATTTCACATGTGCAAAATCACATGTCCACGTTGTCACATGGGATCACATGTGTTTTTGCACATGTGAAACTCATGTGGTTTTTCTGTAAGGGGCTGTATCAACACAAATATCTCAGGTGGCCCCAGCAGCTTGTGTTAAATGAGGTAACCCTGCTTGTGTCCCTTCACGACCCAATAGGGAAAAATCTGCAGCAGCTGTTTAGAGGCTGAAGACGTTGACTTTAGCTTCATTAAGCTTTAGAGTGCCTCAGTTATCAGACTAATGCATCCTGCAACACCGCAACTTGTGCCAGCTCATATGGATACGTCTGCTTAAAGACGTATTAATCATTTTTGGTTTGTTTGAAAGACTTGCAGTCACAGATGGTGACCGCAGAGTCATAAAAGAAAATAAAACTCCTATACTGAAGGCTGTTCTCACCGTATGATGTCAGAGTTATTATTTTCGAGATAATACCAGGAATTAATGACAAATGCGTAGCAGCCTGCTATATTTGTGTTTCAAGTGTTACAGTTAAGAAGATCACAACTGACCACGTAAGGTGAGAGAGAGAGAAATACTCAGTACGGTATCAGTATGTTGTTTATCTCGGCCTTTGTGTGGAAAAAGTGAATTATTGCGACAGTAAAATCAGGCCTTATCCTTTAACAGTCTTAAGTTACCATGCTTATATAAAAAAAACTATATTTAAGGGGTTTTCTTTTTCCATTGAGGTTACATGGAACAGATGGACAGAGTTTCTGGTGTACAAGTGGAAACAGGGAATTGCACTTAGAGCTTAGTGGAATACATAACGGCCAACAAATTCCTTGCCAGAGGTTTTAAGAATATCCAGGAGCCTCGTGCCTCACTCCTTGGAGAGAAATTTTGCAATGTGACTTCAAAATACATCCAAAATGATTTAAATAACTAATGGAGAAGAACAAAAGATTCATAGAGGCCGGCCAACTTGAATATTTCATTTTTGTACATAGAAAAAGTGTGTGTGTGTGATTTATAGATTGTGATAATTTAGTCCTAACCCTTTCCTCCTATAGCCTATGTATTTATAATTTATATTATTATTTTATTTGTATTCTAATATTTATAGTAAACTATTTTTTAGTTTTGTGCAGTGTTTAAAAAAGTTTACCTTTCCTTTCCTCTGTTTCTCTCTGTCATAGTGTAGATGTGTGTATTGGTAGTCTTAAAGGCCCCAAAAATGATCTACGTAAATATGCAATCACTTATAACTACACAAGCTCATTTTCACTTGTTGTTTTCCAAAATGAGCCATTGCCATTAGGCGAGGAAGCTTATTTCCGCCATGGAATAAATAATGTAATTGCGACTTTTTATCTCACAATTCTGACTTTTTTCTCGCAATTGCGAGTTTACATCTCACAATTCTGACTTTTTTTCTTAGAATTGCGTGATATAAAGTCGCAATTGCGTGTTATAAAGTCAGAATTGTGTGATTGTAAAGGCGCAGTTTCAAGATATAAACCCACAGTTCTCACTTTATATCACGCAATTGTGAATTATAAAGTCAGAATTGTGAAATATAACAATTCATTTTTATTTTTTATTTCTTCTATTGTCAATTATTTTTTAAGTCAAACTACTGTCATGGTTTGCAACAGTTTGAAGTGCAAATAAATCTTCCATAGCTATTTAGTTAAACTAGTTAAAAAACTGAAATGTTTATAGCTAACTACCTAAATTATAGCACATCTGGTTCAATGGCACAGACATTTGAATGTATCACTATTTTCCCCTTGAGGACCGAGGTTTGTTACTGCCAGAGTAAAGTTTAGTAAAGTTTCGCGTAGCCAGACATTCAGACTGACTCCAGAAGGTCTGGACTCCATCGCAGCAGGCCAAGATCTGACCGGCATGTAAAGCAAACAACCACAGTTAGTTTTGTTCAGCTTCATGTTTGGGGGTGTGAAAATGTAAATGTAAAATGTAGAATTCAATTTTGTGTGCCATATGCATCAGGTGTCCGTGGGTGTGACGTCTGAGGCTGAGACTTAGTTTAGTAACTACATATGTACACTTGCAATGCATTCGTCAGGCATTTGCATACTTGTCTACTTGTTTAAAGCCTAAGGCCGTGTGTCCACCAAAGCGTTTTTCCACGCGCCTGACGTATGTTTTCAATGGGAGCGCCACGTTTTTTAAACGCCATGAGCGCAACGAGGCGCTGAGCGTTTTTTTCACGCTAAAGCGCCGAGTGCCCGGCGTTTTTTACTGGTCGCCGAGAGTTGAAAAATGTTCAACTTTGGATAAAACGCAGCGCTCATCACTGTCACTTTTTACCCAGCTGTCCAATCACAGTGGAGGTGGAGCGGGACTAATACCACACCGACCAACTGTCACAACATTTTTTCTGTACAGGCGACATCAACCAACAGAGCTAACCGAACAAAATGGATGAAAAAAAATTTTTCAGTATGAAACAAATTATCTGCGAAATCAGTTACAAGTAAACTATGCTGCGAATATTCTGTATCATAGCAACGAAACGTCTCAACGGAAAAAACGCTGTGCTGCCAAAACGCTGTGTCCACCAAACGCTTTGGTGGACACACGGCCAAACGCTCTCAAGCGCCCAAAGCACGGCATCTTCAGCAGAGCGTCTGGCGTTTTCAGCTGGCTAAAAACGCTTTTGTGGACACACGGCCTTAGTCTGACAGGTTCTTATGTTTTCACAAAATGTATTTAGTTGTAAAGACTGAAATGTGAAATGTTGGTACTGTTAAGATTCCTCACATGCATGGAAGCTCTATTGGTGGTGTTTAAAAGCTCTAGTGCAAAAGCAAGCGTTGAATGTGTGCCAGCTTTTACAGAGTGTAAGTGTGTGTGGAGTGTGTTAATTGAAGTAAACGTGTAAGTGTGTGAAGGGGCCAGATGTCAGTGACTTCAAACATTGATCAAGTCAACTCAGACCAGATGCACAGAGGCAGAATCATCACCGCTGTCTGTGTTGGCAAACACTGTTGAGAAGCTCCCAGTTCTTTTTCAAATACATCTAAAATTAACAACAGCACACGACTGCCACCATCACTGTGTGTTTACCACGATGACTGACTGTGTCCCCGTCACCCGAACCCTTCCGATATTGCTTTGCATTCCAGTCTTTGGACAAAATCACCACACAAACCATTTTATAATAAACTTTTGGGATGCTTCTGCAGTCTGTTCTAAAAATCTGCCCATTTTCCAGTGTATAAACAACCGTTGAATTCTCAATGCTGGTTGAGAGAGGTTGTTAAACACATTGTGAACATCTACAATGGAAATGTGGGCTGACTCTGGTGGTCATATACCTTACAATAGAGTCTGAATTGAGATAGTGGACAAGATGTGCCTCATTCAACAGCAGCCAATCAGCCAAGCATTTCGGCAACATCTGATGACACAGAGATGTCACTTTTAGACCGATGTCCAAGCGTTAACGCCTGTGTCAATGGGACAGTTGACCTCCAATGGTAAACACCCTGCTTGTCTGTTTAATAGGTTTAAGAACTAGAGAATTAAAAGGCAGTAAGGGGAAATCCCTGTTTTATATCTGTAATGTGCGTTGATTGTTTAATACATTTCCGTTTAATACATTGTGGGTGTTTTTCCACAATTCCTTTGAAACTGGAAAAATAATCCTCAAGATTGTAGTGATGCACCCAGGAAATGCCACCGAACCGTTGGAACGTTTCATAGAACGTGACTGGTGAAGTAGGGTGAATTAAAAGCAAGGAAGGAAACGTGTCCGGACTCGCCAACTAATGCTTGTTGTCTGTGTATGCGTCGGACGGCTGCTATTCATGAAAAGAAAACTATCCTATTTTTTTTTTTTTTTTTGCGTGTCTTTTCTGTTCATACACCCACACTCGCCCCCCTCATTAAAAGCAGAGTTCACCTCCTAAATTAGGATCCTGGTCCATAATAGTCAGTCAACCAGCCGCTAATGGCCTGGCAATGTCAGGAAAATGTTAATGCACACATTAGTGCTTTGTGTGTGTGTGCAGATGTGTACATTACTGCTACTACATGTTCTTCACTGGCTAATTAGACATTAGTGCATTTGGGCTCACTCGAATTGTACATTTATATATAAAAGCCTTTAAAACACACACATACACACAATGTGAGCTACATTTTTAAAGGAGAATGCACTATATTAATACACTGCAATTTGAGAGCAGTAATGCAGCTCAGTGGTGAAATGAAATGAATGTGTGCAGACAGACTGTCTTAGACAATATGTGTGCATGCTGCCTTTTATATTCACATTTTACTTTATGAGATATCATAAAATTGGGCAAAATGATGCAACCTTTAATGATCTAATTTGTCGAGGGCTAAATTGGTGTCGTATGGCCTGAAACATTTAGCTGAAAATGTTTCATTGCACTGTGGTAAATAGTACATAAATGAGCAGCAGTGCAGCAATCACCAATGGGAATGAAGACAGTGAAAAACAGGATCTGTACTTATTTTTTACTTAGTCTTTGTTCTGGTCCGACCCTGTCAATTGAGGATAAATGCATGGCAAAGCATCAGCGGGTTTTCGAACCCAGGTGAATATGATGAATGCCCATCTCTCTGCAGGTCCTCTGGGTAAACATAGTGGATTCTGGGTAAACAAGAATCAGTCAGGGTGAAGACCAAAGCTGTCACAGAGGTCAATCCCTCCCCTCCTTTTGAGAGAACTACCTTCAGCAGAGAAAATCACTTTTATTTGCTGCTGACAAGATTTGAACATCGCTGTAATTGCACCACTTGAATATTGAGGGCAAAATTGTCTTTTTGTGGACATTAAGTTTTGATCACACTCGCATTGATCATATTTAAACACAATAACAGTTCCAATAAAAAATATGCTCTGTTTGATTTCAACACAACCCTTATGCTGTTCCATATATACATGTAGATTGATTTGAAGTCGCATCTGTAACCTAACGTTGAAGTTCATGGGGAAAAAAACAGGCCTGAAGGCCGAACCGAAGGCATATCCCACGAGGCTTTGCAGGGAGTTCTCATGGTCATAAGGGAGGCCAAACATGGCCTTCAGGGTCACAGGCCATTTCCCTCTGCTTGCCAAACATGATCTTTCACAGGCCAATAATAAATTGTTAAACACAAAGACAGACTCTGCTATGAAGTTGTGATACTCAGAAACTGTGGTTTATTTTTCTTACCTTTGAGAATGTAAATCTGGGTCAGGGTTGGTCAGCAGGGTTAACTGTGTGAATTTTGCTTTGTTTTAATTCCGTTTCAGTTCAAAAGGAAACGGAGACGAACAAAACAAGACATTACAGTGTATTAAAAGCCAATAAAAAAGATATATGTTTTAAGACTAGATTTGAATGCAGATAAAGTAAGAAGTAGCCCTAATGTGGTTTGGAACGCTGTTCCATAAAGTGGGAGCAGCCACAGAAAAAGCTCTATTATCACTTTAAGCGAGTTCTTGGAATTTGTAGTAAGTTTTGATCTTCAGACCTTTGGCTATGAGGGATTGTAGGGTTGGAGTAAATTAGACAGAAGTTTGAGACTTTGATATACCATAATAGATTGCAACTTCCATAGACTTTTTGGATAGAAACGGCTTAATTTTAGCAAGCAAACGGAGACGACAGAAACTAGAACCAAGCTAATATGTTTATTAAACTTGAGTTAATTGTCAAACTCCACACCCAAATTCCTCACAGAAGGTTGTAGATATCCAAGATCGATCTTGTTACTTCCCGGAGAAACAGATTCACAATCATGAACGCAAATGTGTGCTTATTCAGATCAGTATCTCTCCCAGACTATAAGTAAGATCATTGTTAAAGACTTAAGGGTCGTTCACACCAAGACGGATAAATATAGTTTTAATAGTCTAATCTCTAATAATGAGAATTTGGAAGTTCACACCACAGCTGTAACGATAACGACGCAGAGGAACAATATTTTTGGAATCATTTTCATCATCATCTGGTGAACAATAAAAACATTTTAAAAGTCAGACGACTTAACTGTAGCGCACGCTTCGAATAAACAGAATGTTATCATGCGTTGGATGCTAATAGTTATCATTATAGTCATTATAGTTATTGTTATTCGTGTGAACAGGCCTCAATGATAACTACATCTATATAGTTTTAATAATCATTCTAATTCTATGAGAATAGGGAGGTTTACACCACAGCTATAATGATAACAACACAGAATCGATATCATAGTTTTCAGAAATGAAAGCTGATGAAAGATAAAAACATTTACAGCCAATCAGAACTCGCCAAACGACAAAAGTGCAGCTCACTGTTATAATCAACAGAACGTTATCGTTGTAGTTATCTTTATAGGTATTGTTCTTTAGTGTGTAAACTAAAATTTGCTGAAAGTTTAAGCTATCCGTCCTGGTTTTATAATGTATTTTGGATATATTTTTCTTTCATATTTGGTGAATCGTCAACTTAGCCTATTAATATGCATTTTGAGAGCAAATCTCAGCAATAAAATGTCGCTACTCATCTCTACTGTATTGCATGGAAGATATGTATATTGTGAGATATAAACTTGCAATTTTGAGAAAAAAGTTTAAAAACATTAAAACATTCAGCAAATAATAATAACATTAAAATTACGTTCCGAGATTTGTTATCCCAAGAACATTTTCTCTCAACATTACTAGAGCATTCAAGTACAAATTACATCATAAGGACGTACCATGAATATTATGAAAACATTCATCAAATAAAAATAACATTATTAGGATGTTCCAAGAATATTTTTATTGGAACATTGTCTCTCAACATTACGAGAACGTATATTATTAACTATTAATAACATCATAAGAACGTTTTGTCCCAACATTTACATAACTTTTAAAGAACGTTATTGAAAATCTTGGGAACGTTCCCTGTTAGCTAGCATATTGGTACCAAAAGTGTATATATTAGAACCTTTTTAAAGGGTACCGTCCCAGCGACAGCTTTTGTAAAATAAATTCTTCGTACGGAGGTCAGTTGCTGGACAGTCATATGATTACTTACAACATTAAGGTTGAAAATCTTATCTGTGGTGGCTGAGGCAGACAAAGTCTCTTATATTTCCTGTGGTGTCACAATGAAGACAGATGATCGTCCAGTGCCAAAAGTTAAGTAGAGAGAAAGGGGTTTTTCTACAGAAAGAGAATAACACAGGATAAGATATATGAGGAATTAGGACAGAAGTCAGCTCATTGCTGTTGCTTTTCTTTCCGATTGTCAGTTATTTATTTACTTTAACTTATGCTTCTCTTCAAATCAGAACTTTTTTGGGGGGGTTTTCACAATTGTGCAAGAGAGCAAATCTGTGGAAATATGTGTGAGTAGCAGAAACCCTCAGGCTGTTCCACATTACAGATCCAGAATCCTTGGAGTCACGTTCGCTGCATCAGTATCAGGCATGATCTGAATTTGCTGCGGTTTAGTGGACTTGGAGGGGAAGAAAAAAGACAACTTTGGCCTACACAGATGCATATACACACCTAATTTAGGAAGAATGGAAAAAACACGCTCACACCTGGACACAGTTCAGTTCCTGTTACTTCTTTCATTGGGTTTCATTGTTGTTTATAAGTTTCATAAATGTTCTTAAAGTCATTCTGGCTTTTGATACATACAACCATAAAATTGAACGAAGCTATTATAAATGCATATTGTA